TCTATGCATTTCTTTTCCATGTTGTTTTGTCGCCCGTGTTCCTTAGTGAGTATCTACCTTTCCGTTGCAGTAAAATTTTATCTAGCAATCAGTTCAGTTCTGATTTCCCCTTAGTCCCCACCAAATGCCTGTATTTCCCGAGCCAGAATCAAGTGTATTTCATTGTTAAATCCCATAAGTATATTTTTAATCTAGCATAATTTCCCCTCACACACCTTCCTGCCTGGTAACACTGGATTGTTGATGATACTAAGCCATTTATTTTACAAAATATCTTACTTCTGAATTTGCTTGCTTCTACTTAGTGTTATTTAGCTCACTCCTTTACCCACCCTGCATTTCTACGTACTGAAGTTTCATCCATATCCTTAACAGATTCAGATAAAACACTTTTGGCCAGGACATATCAAGGCTAATGTTGTATATTTCACATGTCACACTGGGAAGCACTTACTAATTGGAGGACTGGTTGTCCATGACCACACATTGTTCACTTTGTTGGGATGCTGGAACCGTACTCCCAACCATCTATATTGAGATCTGTTGCCCTCTTCTGGCACGCAGGCATACGTGCAGGCAGAACACTGTATACAACTGCATACATAATAAAGCTTTTTTAAAAACTTAGTTTTAGCTCTCCCTCTCCTCTCTCTCTCCCTCTCCTCTCCCTCTCTCCCTCTCTCTAGAGCTAGAGCTACAGCTAGAGCTAGAGTTACAAAGGCAGCTGTGAGTTGCCCAGTGTGGGTGCTGGGAACTGAGCTCAGGTTCTTTGGAAAGACAATGTGTGTTCTTAACCACTGAGCCAATCTCTCCAGTCCTCTTTTTTTTTTAAAAAATAAATCTTTTAAAAAGCTTTTCTTTTTTAATTTTTATGTGTATGAGTGTTTTGTCTGCATATTGCATACTTATGCCTGATGCCCTCAGAAGCCAGAGAGGGTACTGGGTCTCCTGAAACTGAACTTTTAAATGGTTATGAGTAGATACCATGTAGATACTGAGAATTGACCCCAGGTCTCTGGAAGAGCAGCCAGTGTTTTTAACTGCTGAGCCATCTATCCAGCCTCCATCTAACTTTGTGGCTCACAACCATCTGCAATGAGATCTGGGGCCCTCTTCTGGCCTGCAGGAACACATGCAGACAGAACACTGTATATATAATAAAATAATTTAAAGAAAAACCTTATAGTCATTTTTAGAGAAAGCTGATATGTGATGTGTCCATGGTGTGCATTTGTCAATATCTTGGGATCTTTTCTGATAATTAGATCTTAACTTGAATTTAATGTATGGCTTTGAGCATCTGAAGAATATGAACTGGTCCCTAAAATAGCAAACTTGACACACTTTTGAAAATTTTATTTACTTATTTATTTATTGTTTTTTCAAGACAGGGTTTCTCTATGGCTTTGGAGGCTGTCCTGGAACTAGTTCTTGTAGACCAGGCTGGCCTCGAACTCACAGAGATCCGCCTGCCTCTGCCTCCCGAGTGCTGGGATTAAAGGCGTGCGCCACCAATGAAATGCCCAGCTGAAAACTTATTTTAATCACTTCTTAAATCTCTATACAGATCCATCAGGCATGCAAACTAATCTGCAGGAAATGCAAACGTCACGTGACTGACCTCACAGGCCAGGTGGTGCAGGAAGGAACCAGGCGCTACAGACTGTGTAACGAGTGCCTTGCTGAAGCTGGCATCGACAGCCTCCCTGTTGATCTGGAAGCTGAGCAACACTGCATGTCCCCCGCAGATGGAGATAAGGATTCGAGGTGGCATCTGAGTGAGGAAGAGAATAGATCCTACGTGGAGATTGTGGAGGACGGGTCTGCCGATCTGGTCATAAAACAGGTTGAAGATAGTGAGGAAGAAGAGGAGAAGGAAATCAAACCCAACATTAGGTAGCCTGAAGTGCGACTCCTCAGAGCTGGCCTGCCTGCAGTTTACATGGACGTCCTGTATCTCTCCATGGGCAGAGCCCGGTTAATGGATTTCTCCGGCTGGCTTAGAAGTGACCTGGTGTAACTTGCATGCTTTTTGAATAGGCCATTGTATCCACTCTGAACTTGGTTGCCCTGAACTATGTTGCTGCTCTGGGAAGACCTTGCTTGTATTGGCATGATGGATGATCAGTTACCCTTTCTGTTATTACACAGATGGCATTTTGTTTAAATATTGGAAAAATCTATTTAGCAAACATTTTTGAGTAAAATATTTTAAATTAATCTATCACAAAACTTTAAGACAATCTTTTCTATTATATTTTTATTGATTCATTTTGTTTTGGGGAGGAGGGGAGCCTGTGTTTGGAAGGAAGCCAGAAGAAAATCCTACCATGTGGGATGGAATTCTTGGTGGCAGGGCCCCTTACCTTCACCCACCAATAAACCTGCCTACAAAATGTTAATGTATTTTAAAAGCATGTATGTTATAATACTAAACCTCACAGGGAATCAGGCAAGACTGAATTTGGGAGTCTGGCTACCCAATTGCAGGCCCCAGCAAATGTATTAAAAATTTCAAGTCCAGGGGCTGGAGAGATGGCTCAGAGGTTAAGAGCACTGACTGCTCTTCCAGAGGTCCTGAGTTCAATTCTCAGCGACCACATGGTGGCTCACAACCATCCGTTATAAGATCTGGTGCCCTCTTCTGGTGTGCAGATATACATGGAAGCAGAATGTTGTATACATAATAAATAAAGTCTTTAAAAAAAAGAAAAGAAATCCTGAATATGTATTTATAAAAAAAATTTTTTTTCAAGTCCAGCTGGATGTTGGTGGGGCACGCCTTTAGTCCTAGCACTCGGGAGGCAGAGGCAGACGGATCTCTATGAGTTCGAGGCCAGCCTGGTCTACAGAGTGAGAGCCAGGATAGGCTCCAAAGCTACACAGAGAAACCCTATCTCGGGAAAAAAAAAAAAAATTCAAGTCCAGGGGCTTTTAGAGATGGCTCAGCAGTTAAGAGTACTGTCTCTTTAGAGGACACATATTTGAGTCCCAGCACCCACATGGCATCTCACAACCATCTGTAGCTCCAGTTCCAGGGAGTCTTAACACCTATTTCTGATACGTGGGCATCAGGCACTCAAGTGGTGTATAAACATACATGCAGGTAAAACATAAAAGTTAAAAATTTTTTCCCCTGAACTACAAATTGACTTATAAGACAGCCATGGCTACACAGAGAAACCCTGTCTCATAATCCCAGCACTCAGGAGGCAGAGACAGGCAGATCTCTGTGAGTTCAAGGGTAGCCTGGTCCACAGAGCAAGTTCCAGGACAACCAGGGCTATAGGGAAACCCTGTGTTGAAAAGCAAAAAAAAAAAAAATTATTCTTGTGTGTCTGGAAAGATCTGAACACAAGAACACTAGCTGCTCTTTCAGAGGACCTGGATTGCTAACTCCAGTTCAGTGGACTCCAAGTCTTCATCTGGTGTTCCTGGGCACTGCATGTGTGTGGTATGCAGACATATATGTATGCCAAAAAACCATGCATTTTACTAAAGTGTTTCTCTTATGAGCTTATACTGTTGTAGAGACAGGATGGGGGGGGGGGTTCAGTAGAAAAGTGCTCGCCATGCAGGCATAAGGACCTGAGTTTGGCTCTCAAAACCCATGTAAAAACCCTTACATGGCTAGTGCCGTTTGCAACCTGTGTTCATTGGGCTCATGGGAATGCACAGATCCTAGAAGTGAGAGCCAGGGGGGCTGGAGAGGTGGCTCAGAGGTTAAGGGCACTGACTACTGTTCCAAAGGTCCTGAGTTCAATTCCCAGCAACCACATGGCTGCTCACACCCATCCGTAATGAGATCTGGTGCCCTCTTCTGGTGTGCAGATATACATGGAAACAGAATGTTGTATACATAATAAATAAAATCTTTAAAAAAAAAAAAAAGAAGTGAGAGCCAGATTAAATGAAGAAGGCCTGTCTCGAGAACTAAGGCAGAGAATGATAGAGGAGAAACCTGACATTGACCTCTGGCCTCTACACCCACATCATATATGTGCATGTATGCATAAATGTATGTATATGCAAGTGCTCACACAAACTATGGCTCAGTAAGAGTACTTGTTCTGCAAGTATGAGGACCTGAGTTTGAATTCCTAGAACCCATGTGGAAAAGCCAAGCATGTGTGTGGATGAATACAGATGGCGCTGAGAGCTTGCAGGCTACTCAGCCATGCCAAAATGCTGTGCTTCCAGCTCACTGAGAGACTGTGGCTCAAGGCAACAAGGCAGAAAGGTTGAGGAAGACTGGACATCGTATGCTGGCCTCCACATCACATACATGTACCACATGCATAAATAATAATAAAATAAAACCAGGAAGCAAGTACTGCTAAAAGTCACGGGAATTTATGAAGACCCTTAAATATAATTCTGTCCCTCTCTTTAAAAATAAACTGGAGGCAGGGAGGTGGTGGGTTTGCACACCTTTAATCCCAGCACCGGGGAGGCAGAGGCAGGCAGATCTCTGAATCTGGCGCCAGTCTGGTCTACAAACTGAGTTCCAGGACAGCTAGTACTGTTACACAGAGAAACCCTGTCCCAAAAACTAAATAAAACCAAGACTTCAGCGTACATGTTCTCCTTGCTCTACACTCTCCTTTTTTGAGACAGGACCATATTAGGTTGCCCAGGCTAGTTTCAAACTCATTCTGTAGCCAAAGCTGGCCTCAAACTCAGGATCCTGAGTGTTGTGTTATGATCACAGGCATATATTGTCTGTCACACTCATCTCACATTACTTTGTTGGAAATTGGATTCAGTCTCGGCGGCTGTTTACACCAGCGGGTATCCCCCTCTGAGACCATGCTGGAGCACTTGCATTCCATTGAGAGGTGTAAGGCACCTGCTGCTGCTGCTGTAAATGACCAAGCACAAGATTGTTCCTCAAAAATTTAACAAAGACCCTATACAAAAGGAAGAAAACAAATCAGTTCTTCATAAGTCTTTTTTAAAATAATTTATTTTTATTTTATGTACACTGGTGTTTTGCTTGCATGAATGTCTGCATGAGGGCATCGGATCCCTTGGAATAAGAGTTAGAGACAGTTGTGAGCTGTCATGTGGTTGCTGGGAATTGAACCAGGTTCTCTCCAGTCCCCAAGTGTCTCTTCCTTCCTTCCTTCATTCCTTCTTGGTATCTTAAATGTCAATGATCACAAACACTTCTGGCTTCTCTTCATTGTAGACCTGCATTGCTGAGTATGTTATTGCTTTGACTTCTGTTCCCTGAAGTTGGAGTTAAAGGAAAAAAGAAAGAAACTGGGTTTAGAATCTTTAACTCTAGCAGGGACTGGCAGAAAGTCAGACTGTAATTCTGACACAAGAGACGAGGGGTTATCAAGTTAGTACAGAGGCATATGCCGCTATGAGAAAATGAGAAGAAGCAAGCCCAACAGAAAGAGAGAGGAGACTTGGAGGAGCCAGCGCTATTGCAGGCCTGGGTGGCTGGTCAGGGAGGCCATGTGACCTGGCTGGATATGGTCTGGGTTTTTGCTTTTTGAGACAGGGTTTCTCAGTAGCTATGGAGCCTGTTCTGGAACTCACTCTGTAGACGAGGCTGGCCTTGAACTCACAGAGTTCCACCTGTCTCTGCTTCCAACGTGCTGTAATTAAAGGCATGTCTGTTTTTTTGGTTATAAAATGAGTCAGAGCCTATTCTCTTTGGGATTCTTTTCAGTGCAGGTGGGAGAGAGAGACAGAGAGAATGGCAAAGGTCAGAGACCTCCCAGGATTCTGATACATGATAGTAGTCCACACCCTGTCCCAGTTTAGAACAAAAGGACTGATATCCTCTTAAGTCCCTTCCACTCTAGAAAGGATCTGTAATAATAATGTGCCAGGTACCAGGTAAATGTCACCTGCTAGCTCTAATGCACAGCAGACAAGTGAAGATGCATGTAAATCCACTATGCATATAATTATGGTACAAAAACTCCTAGCTGACGCCAGATCAAATAAAACCCTTCTGTTATTGACCACAGTCCCCAGCACCCTCACCCAGTTACTACTGTGTTACCAATCTGTCCCCTTTTCTGCAGTCATTTCCAAATGAATTTGCTTGCTTGTTTGTGTGTGTGTTTGTTTGTTTGCTTGAGACAAGGTCTCCACGTGGTCCTGGCAGTCCTAGAGCTTGCTGTGTAGACCAGGCTGGCCTCAAACTCACAGAGATCTCCCTGCTTCTTCCTCCTTTAAGTGCTGGGATTAAAGGTGTGTACCACTATATCTGGCTTTCCAAATGATTTTTTTTTTTTTAAGTAAAAAGAGGGCTAGAGATATAGTGCAGTAGTGGAGCATTTATATAGCATGCACAAGGCCCGACATTCAATTTCCAGAGAGACAGAGAGAAAATAACTATTCCAAAATCTTCATTGAGGAGGAAACCAAGCCTCTGGTGGCCCATGCCTGTAATTTCAGTCCTCCAGAGGCAGAAAGAGACAAGATCTCTGTGAGTTCCAGTCCAGCCAAAGCTACACAGTGAGATTCTGTTTCAAAAACAAGCAAAAAGCCCAATCAAACAAAGAGAAAACGAGACTTTAAAACCCCTTGACAATCTGTAACAAACTCCATCCTGGACCCAAAGCTGACTCCTAACTGACCACAGATTCATGAAATCAGTGTCTTAACTGAGATGGCTCAGAGGTTAAGAGTGCTGACTGCTCTTCCGGAGGTCCTGAGTTCAATTCCCAGCAACCACATGGTGGCTCACAACCATCCGTTATGAGATCTGGTGCCCTCTTCTGATGTACAGATATACATGGAAGCAGAATGTTGTATACATAATAAATAAATAAAATCTTAAAAAAATATATATACAGTAGGGCTGGACATTGGTGGCTCACCCCTTTAATCCCAGCACTCAGGAGGCAGAGGCAGGCGGGTCTCTGTGGGGTTGAGGGCAGCCTGTTCTCCAGAGCGAGTGCCAGGATAGGCTCCAAAGCTACACAGAGAAACCCTGTCTCGAAAAACAAAACAAAAAACTATACAAAGTTGGGTAAGAGACGATTGAGCAAACTTGCCATCACTTCATACTAATTAAAACTAATTTCACATACACAGATTTTATGTAAGAAAGGAGGAAATGCTTTCAACAGCTAGACTTCTGAACATACCTGAGGATGCTTGGACAATGAAAATTCTTCTCCCCACCTTGAGAAGGAAAGTAAAAACATGATTATTATTTCTACAATTTTCTATTTTATTCTCTACATTTTAAAGTAAGCCTTATAAATGTGGTCCCAAACTGGAGAACCAGAAAGAGATGGAGGAACTGGGAAGGAAATTGCATTGCATCCAATGGAGAACAAAGTATGTGACCCACAGGCTCTAGATTAGGATGTTGTAGGTGTTCTAACAAAATAGGGACCATGCTGAGTGTGGTGGCACACATTTAATCTCAGCCCTGCGAAGCAGAGGCAGGCAGATCTGAGTTTAAGGGCAGCCTACTCTCTGGAGTGAGTTCCAGAACAGCTAGGGTTATACAGAGAAACCTTATCTTGAAAAACCAAAAACAGTTGCTGGGATCATCTAAACTGAGGCCAGCTGTAATTATAAATACACTTTTTTTTTTATTTTTTAAATCATGAAAATAATTTCGGACTGGAGTGATGGCTCAGTGGTTAAGTTCAGGTTCAGGATCCAGGTTCAGTTCTCAGCACCCACAACCATCTGTAACTCTAGTTCCAGGAAATCTGGCGCCCTCTTCTGGCCTCTGCAGGCACCAGGCACACATGTGGTGAATACCCATGTGTGCCCCTTTGCAGGCAAATACCCATATATATGAAAATTTTTTAATTGGGAATTGAGCTTAACAATCAGAAAGAACTTTATTTCCACAAATTTCCAAGTCTCTACAACTCAGGTGAGCTCACACTCTAGGAGTCTCCCCAGTTCAACTTGTAAGGTCTAGCCAAGTGAAGTTCTCCTGACTCACCACTTGTATCTGTCCTTTTGCATACTTGAGTCAATGGAAAATATATTTTAATGTCTTTCATGACCCGCTACTTAACTAGTTTCAAAATTTACCCAAGCTAGGTGGTGGTGGCGCATGCCTTTAATCCCAGCACTCGAGAGGCAGAGGCAGGGGGATCTCTGTGAGTTCGAGACCAGCCTGGTCTACAAGAGCTAGTTCCAGGACAGCCTCCAAAGCCACAGAGAAACCATGTCTCGGAACCCCCACCAAAAAAAAACAAAAAAACTTACCCAATTGACCGTAACTTGAAGTTTTTTTGATCAATATTAAGTACTTTCACTTCCTAAAGATGAAAAAATAACATTTTAACTTAATTATTAACTAGTTAATTAATTAACTTTATTTTAAAATATTTTTGAGATAAGGTCTTCCATTACTCATTTGAACCTCACAATATAACCAGGGATAACCATGCATTCCGGACCCTCCTGCCTTCATCTCTGAGGTGTGGGATCACAAGCATGTGAAGACAAGCTCCATTTTATGCAGAGCTGGAGACTGAACCCAGGGCTTTGGGAATGCTAATCAAGTATTCTTCTACCCACCCGAGCTACAATCATTACTTAAAGACAGAAGGGTTCAGCCAAGTACGTAGGCAAGTGCTTTATAACTCAATACTTGAACTCAGTCGAGGAGCCTGAGGCCAGGGCCACTTGGGATAAGGAGTAAGACCCTGTCTCAAAAACAAACCAAAGCCGGGTGGTGGTGGCACTCGCCTTTAATCCCAGCACTCGGGAGGCAAAGTCAAGCAGATCTCTGTGAGTTCCAGGCCAATTGGCCTGGTGTACAGATAGAGTTCCAGGACAGGCTCCAAAGCTACGGAGAAACCCTGTCTTGAAAAACGAAAACAAAACAAACAAAAACCAAATCCACACCATGCCATTTACTAAACACCTTTAGCTTGTGACATATTTTAGAAAACAATATCATACTTCTCTGATGCAGAGAAAATTAAAATGTCAAGTAAAATAAAACAAGGAAATAAGGTGCTCTTAAAAAAAAAAAAAAAAAAAAAAAAAAAAAAAAAAAAAAAAACAGGGGCTATGTAGAGCAGGCTAGCCTGGAACTCAGAGTTCCTCACTGAAAAGTTCAGGATTAATGCTGACCTGTCGGCCCCACTTTAAGAGACAGACCCCTCCCCCTGACAATGGGTGGGGCATGCACAGAGATGTGCCTTGTCACTCATTATGCAGTAGGACCTGCATGAGGACTGCGCATGCGCGAGCTCCCCTTTCCGCCCACACCCTTACCTACCCCTCTCTCCTTCTCTTCTCTCTCTTCTCTTTACTCTCTTACCTCCTCCCTGCTCTCTGTCGCTCATATCTGCCACTCTCCCTTACCCACATGTAATAAACTATGGTTAATGTGTCTCTCATTCTCACAGCTCATCTTGCTCCTCTTTTTATATTTTTAAGCTTAAACAAGATCACAATACTCATGTCTCTGCCTCCTGAGTGCTATGATGAATGGTATATTCCACCATACTGGCTAAGTAGATGTTTTCTCCAGCCCGTAGTAGATAGTCTTATACAATATCAAATACTATGTGATCAGAGATCTAAGTAAAAAAAAATGAATATACCTAGGCAAGTAGGTTAATCAGTAGGGACCTACATGGTGCTGGAGAGGTGGCGATTTGTCAGTGCCCATAATGATGGCTCTACTCCATCTTGGCTCAAGGGCAGAGAGTTCAAAACTGTCCTCAGTAAGTCATAAGACCTAAAGGTCAAAGGCGTGGCTACAGTAGGATGTTCGATCAACAGACCTGGTCTGAGGTGTGGTTACTCCTGACCCTCAAAGCCAGGTAACGAGAAGTTGAATGTAAGGGAATCCTTGGAGAAAAGAGGAAAAAAAGTCTGTATACATGATACCATGTTCCCCTTTTTGTTAAGGTATATAAGAGTGGTAAGAATGGGCTGGAGAGGAGCTGGAGAAATGGCTCAGAGGTTAAGAGCACTGACTGCTCTTCCAGAGGAGTTCAGTTCCCAGCAACCAAATGGTGGCTCACAACCATCTATGTAATGATATCTGGTGTTCAAGCATGCATGCAGATAACTAACTGTATACACAATAAATAAATGAAGTCTTTGGCCAGGTGTTGGTGGCGCACGCCTTTAATACCAGCACTCAGGAGGCAGAGGCAGGTGAATCTCTGTGAGTTCGAGGCCAGCCTGGACTACAGAGTGAGTGCCAGGATAGGCTCCAAAGCTACATAGAGAAAATCTGTCTCGAAAAACAAACAACAAAAAAAAAAAGAATGGGCTGGAGAGATAGGTCAGCGGTTAGGAGCACAGTCTGCTCTTCCAGAGGTCCTCAGTTTCAGTTCCTGGCAATCACATGATGGCTCTCAACCATCTATAATGAGATCTGGTGCCCTCTTCCGGCCTGCAGGGATACATGCAGGCAGAACACTGTATGCACAATAAATCTTTTCATTTCAGTATTGACTGATTTCCTCTCCTGCTTTTATTCTGTGTCTTTGTCTTTTCCTAGCCTTTCTTCAGTCTACACATCCCCTCTCAGGTATGAACCTCGGGCTGGTTCCAACTGAAGCCCTGCAAAGACAGCTTCCGACAGAGTAGTGGCTGCTCTTGCAGAAAACCCAGGTTTGATCCTAGCACCCATATTGTAGCTCACAACTGTTTGTAACTATGGTACCAAGGGATATGATGCTCTTATGGCCCCATTGGTATTGCATGCATGTGGCATACAGACATACATGCAGGCAAAACAATTGTATGCATAACTAAAAATAAACAAAACATCTTTAAAAAAGACCTATAACTTATACAAATCAACACTACCTCACATATCTATATGGATTAGTTTTTGGATCATATACCTTATCTTCAACTATTTGTTCAACTTTACAATATGAACAGAGTCTACTTGCTCAGCAAGCAAAGAAAGCCCTCTGCTTACCCGGGGTATGAAGTATTCATCAGCACTGAACTTGTAAAGCCACTCATCCAAAAAGTGGAACAGTAGAGACTGCAGGTCATCTCCTACATAGGGTCAAAGATGGTGTTTAGTGACTCTGGTCTCTAAAAGTTTGTTAAAGTACAATGAAGTTCTTCGGCTCATTTAAAGATCCATAATTCATCATGTAGTTCTTACTGTGACAATATGTTCTCATCATGCAGAACATTGTATGCCCATATATTAATTTTTCCTTGAGAATTAATCAGTTACCCTGGGTTTCTACTTCTACTGTTTGAAGGGGTTCCACAGTTCCAGTATCTGTCATGTAACCAAACATGGCCATGGCACACTGTTCAAATGCTTCCTCCAGAGTATCTCCCCATGCATGTAACCTAGAAAAAAAAGTTAAAATAATAATAAAAGGGGCCACAGTCTGTGCAACAATACAATCCACTACAAGAGAGAAAATTCCACAGCAAAGTCAAAAGAAAATCAGTTTGATAAATATAAAACTAAATGTCTAATTTAAAGGCATCCAAACCGGAGGCTTTTACACCATCATTTTACATTTAGAGCAAATCAAAATAAAAAGAGAAAGGAATACACTTGGGCCACGAAGCTGGCTCAGTGGGTAAGGGTGCTGCCACCCAGCCTATGAGTTTGAGGCCAGCCTGATCTATATAACAAATTCCAATCCAGCAAGTGAGAGCCTATCTCAAAAAAGAAAAGATAGAAGTGGAGAGTTGGCTCAGTGGTTAAGAGCATTTGTTGCTCTTGCAGAGGACCCAGGTTCTGGTCCCAGCACCCACATGGTGGCTCACAACCATCTCTATCTCCAATCCCATCTGACCACCTCTTCCTCAGGATCCAGGAACACACATGGTGCACATATATACGTTCAGACAAATATCCATACACATAAGATAATAAATCTTTTTTTTTCCTGGGAGACAGGGTTCCTCAGTGTAGCTCTGGCTGTCCTGGAACTTGCTCTGTGGACTAGGCTGACCTCTGTCTCTGTCTCCTAAGTTCTGGAATTAATGGTGTGTGCCACCCCAGCCCAGCAATAAAATAAATCTTTTGTTTTTTTTTCCCCCAGAGACAGGGTTTCTCTGTAGCTTTGGAGCCTGTCCTGGAACTAGCTCTCATAGACCAGGCTGGCCTCGAACTCACAGAGATCCACCTGCCTCTGCCTCCCAAGTGCTAGGACTAAAGGCGTGCGCCACCACCCGGCCATAAAATAAATCTTAAAAAAGTAAATGTAGTTGAGAATTTTTATTAAAAAAATTAAGACATTCGGGGGTGGGGGTGGAGAGATGGCTTAGTGCACCGAACTGACTGCTCTTCCAGAGGACCCCAATTCAATTCCAGCTCCTGTATGGCAGCTTACAATTGTCTGTAACTCCAGTTCCAGGGGTCCCAATGTTAGTATTCAAGCATCTGTACCAGCTTGCCCTTGGGGTTCTGACAGGCTATGTCCTCAGCTGCAGCCACTAAGAGCACCACCTGTGCAGTCACTATGTTCCCTTTTGAAAGGGCCCTGCCCACCTCCCATTTCTCTCTCTTTCCTTCCTGTCTGTTCCTTCCTCTTTCTCTCTCTGCTTCTTTGCCTGTCTCTGTCCCCCTCTCTCTGTTGCTCCTGTCTCTGTCCCCTTCTCCTCTGTTGCTCCTGTCTCTGTCCCCTTCTCCTCTGTTGCTCCTGTCTCCAGAGGTCAGTCTCCCCCTCCCCTCCCCTTTTCCCATTCTCTTTCCCCCAATTAAAAACAAAACAAAACCCTCCTTATGAGCTCTGTTACATGGCATCTTTTTCTCTTGTCCCACTTTTTAAAAATTAAAACATTTAGCACCCATGGCAAAACACCAATGCACATAAAATAAAAATAAGAACAAAAAATTAAAGACAGAGTTTCCAGAAATAACTCTTGCTGTACTCACTGGACATCAGCTGTATGGTCCAAGTCTGAGGGAGAAAGGAAAAAGGTGTAAGCCACTCAACTTGATTCTTTTTTTCTTTTAATATTTTTATTTATTATGTATACAGTCTTCTGCCTGCATGCCAGCAGAGGGCACTAGATCTCATTCAAGGTGATTGTGAGCCACCTTGTGGTTGCTGAGAATTGAACTCAGGACCTCTGGAAGAACAGTCAGTGCTCTTAACCTCTGAGCCATCTCTCTAGCCCTGAACTTGATTCCTAAAACATACAAAAATAACTCTACGGTGTTGACAGGCAGCAGGCAGAAACAGCAGTTAAAGAAGACCTCTAGTTCATTGCTACTCATTAAGAACATCATCCCAGGGGGATAATAGGCTCACACCTGTAATCCTAGACTTACGTGGCTAAGGCAGGTGGATCACAATTCCCAGCCCAGCTCTGGAAAATCTGGGTATACAGTAACATCCCATCTTAAAAGAAAAATAAAAAAAGGCAATGACTTTATTTTTTAATGTATTTTAAGAAATGTATCTGCTACATATATATATATATATATATATATATATATATATATATATATATATATATATGCCTCCTTCTCCCTCCTTTCTGGAGAGATGGCTCAATAGGTAAAAGCACATGTTGTGCAAGGCTACTACAAGAGTTCTGATGTCCAGAACATGCCAAAGTTGGACAGGGCAATGCAAGCCTCTATTATCCTAGCATGCTTACAGGAAACAGAGGAAAAAAGACTCTAGATCAGCGGTTCACAACCTGTGGGTAGGGACCTTTCACAGGGCTGCCTAAGACCATATTTACATTATGATTCGTAACAGTAGCAAAATTACAGTTCTCAAGTAGGAATGCAATAATTTTATGGTTGGGGTCATCACGACATGAGGAACTGTACTAAAGGGGAGCAGCGTTGGGAAGATTGAGAAACACTGATCTAGATACTCCTGGGACAGCTAGCTTGGCTTACCAGTGGCCAAGAAATCCTTTCTCAAAGAAGGCAGAAAAGTAAGGACAGACCCAAGGTTGTCCTGATTTCTCTGCACACGTGCACTCACACCGTGAACATGCATATATACACTGACATATCACATACATGAAGTAAAGTTAAAGCAAACAAAAAAGATGGTGCACGAGAGAAGTGCACAATGCATCCATTATGAGCACTTGCTGGTCTGGCAGAGAACATGGATTTGCAGCATCGAATGGTGGCTCACAATTGCTCATAACTCCAGTTCCAGGGGATCCAATGCCTTACTTGGTATTAAGTATGTGTGTGGTGCACATATATACATCCCTCAAAACACTCATACACACAAAAAATAAACAAATGTCGAAAAATTCTTAAAAGTAGGAAAACGGGCTGCAGAGATGGCTCAGCGGTTAAGAGCATGGACTGTTCTACCAGAGGTCCTGAGTTCAATTCCCAACAACCACAGGGTGGCTCACAACCACCTTGAATGAGATCTGGTGCCCTCTGCTAGCATGCAGGCAGAAGACTGTGTACATAATAAATAAGTAAATAAGTAAGTAAAATCTTTAAAACAAAAAAGGAAAACATGAGGCAGTTAGACCTTTTGCTATGTGGTTACTCAATAAAGTTAACTCTTTCCTGGTATTATTTTATAAACAAAGCAACCTACCTGTTTGGTTCATATTTAAATGAATGATAAATTCTGAAAAGTACCAAGGCAGAGTCTTCCAGTTGTATTGTTTCATTTTGCTTTAGGTTTAGACACGGGGTCTCCCAGTGCAGTCCAGGCTGATCTGATCATCCAGCCTCAACCTCCACCCGGAGTGCTGGGATTGCAAGCATGCACCACCATGCTTCTTCTAGGTATCTTAAAATGTCTAAGTTGGGCGCAGCAATGGGTTCCTACAGTCCCAGCTACTCTTGAGTTTGAAGCTGGAAGATCATTTGAGCCCAGTTCAAGGCTACCCTGGGTGACACAGCAAGACCTCCTGTGTGTTCAGTGTCATATACACTGGTCTCTCAATGAGTATTTCTTGGCATCAGCTACTTTTCCTGACTAGCTAGGCTAATCCTGAGTAGGAAGGCCAACTCCACAAGATGTACAATGAACGTTCCCTGCTATTCCCACAGTAAAGACTGGACCACAACAGCTCTACTGCATGCCCCACTCTGGGTGTCATCTCCTATTCAGTATGTTCTTTGCCTATCCCATGGCTTTCATCAATTCTTTCCACTTGTTTTACTTTGAGACAGGGTCTAACTATGTAATCCAATACAAATTCACTACGTAGACCAGGCTGGCAGAGAGTCTCTTGCCCGTCTCCCAAGTGCTGTGATTAAGGGTATGTGCAACTGGGACCAGCATTTCTTCCCACTAGCAGGAATTCTTGGAGGTCATTTAATATAATCCCTTGACTTATAAAAAGAAGCCCGGGGGCTAGGATGTGGCTCAGTGGTAGAGTACTTGCCTAACACGTGCAATGTTCTACATTCAATATTGAGCATGAACAGAAAATAAAGCAAAGGAAAGGAAAGGATGAAGAGAGAGGACTGAAATCCATAGAGAACAGATGACTCAAGTTAGATGACAACGTTATTTGCAAGTAGTGCTGGTACTACAGCTGAGGGTTCTGGAGGCTTAGGCAGGGTCAGCTTGAGGCCGGTCTGGTATATGTTTTGAGCTCAAGTATAAAGGTACATAGAGCATCATGTTTCAAAAGATCACAGACCCCAATGAAATTAATTTTAAAAGGACGGGGGTTAGGAACAGAGGTCAGTAGAGGGCTGGAGAATTACCCCGAATTCAATCTATGCTACAACAAATAAATAAATGAATAAATAAGCATTCACACAAATCTTAAAATACATAACAGCATCTGACCAAATGCCAGCATGGCTTCTAGCAGCTTAAGGCCACATCCCAAGACACAGCAGAAAGAAGTCTTAGTTACAATGTTTGCCTGAGAAAAGCCTAATAAAGGTGGGAGAATTCCCTCCTTGTTCTAGCCAACACTTTCTAAAAGGCTCTTAATCTCTCTATTTTACAGTAAGTACCAAAGAAGCCTTACAACTGTGAATATGTATCCTTTCCAGCTCCAATCTTTCCCAAGGACCCAGTTCTTTGAAATGTTATCATCCCCACAGCCCAGACCTCCTGCCTCAAGTCTGTGGGAGGCTAGAACTCCAACTTCCAAAACTGCCAGCCAACAGACAAAACTGGCCTTGGCCTTGCTGCCTCTACTGCAATTATAATGACTAATCTTTTGTTCTTTGTTACTTCTCTGACTTTAGGAGCCCTTGCTCTGCCCATCTCATTCTCCTTGTACATTTACAATCTCTGTGTGAACTGGAATGAATCTCAGTTTTCACCATCAGTAGTTAATTTACTTCAATTTGTGTGTGCCGGTGGTACCTTTGATAGGGTGGTGAAGAAGCTCCCACAACTGTAAAAGAAGAGCCCATGAGTCTACTCATACAAACCTCTAACACAGAAAAGTACACTCCGGGAACAGGAAATACAATAGAAAATGAATTCAAGGATAAGAGGCAAGAAAGGAACTGAGGGAACATTCTAAGACGACAGCACTGTTCTATCTCAAAACTAGGGCTGCTCACACAGGTGTATCTGTTAGCAGCCATAATAATCCAGGCCAGGCCAGGAGGTGGTTGCGCAAGCCTTTAAACTCAGTACTTGGGAAGTAGAGGCAGGCAGATCTCAGTGAGTTCGAGACCAGCCGCTCAAAAAGCAAGTTCCAGGAAAGCCAGAGCTGTTACATGGAGACACCCTGGGGGGGGGGGCAGAGAAAAACAAACTCCAGGTGTGGTAACTCAAGCTTGTGACTCCAGCACCAGGGGAGGGGACACAGGAAGGATCATTCTAAATTGGTCCACATAGCGAGATCCAGGCCAGTGAAAAATAACTATTGCCAAAAGTTAGAGAGGTATATTTTTATTTCAAGGTTTTTTTTCTGCTTATTAGAGACAGGGTTTCTCTGTATCATTTCAAATATATTTTTTTATTTTTTATTTTTTTGTTGTTTTTTGTTTTTTGAGACAGGGTTTCTCTGTGGCTTTGGAGGCTGCCCTGGAACTAGCTCTTGTAGACCAGCCTGGTCTCGAACTCACAGAGATCTGCTTGCCTCTGCCTCCCGGGTGCTGGGATTAAAGGCGTGCGCCATCAACGCCTGGCCCTCAAATATTTTTAACGAGATGCAATATATTAAGTACATAAGGAAATCCAATCTTGGGCTGTGGAGACAGAAACACCCATCTCTCGGTTACTTTCCCAGTCCTCTAACGTGGTCACACTACTCCGCTACTGGGAGAAACTCGAGGACAACCCCGAAAACGCTTGAAAATACAGCTGGAGCGCTAGTATAGTTTAGAAAGATGAGTGTCGGGCAAGCGCTGTACCACTGAGCTATATCCCCAGAGAAGATAAAGTGATTTAGGCACACGTAGACCTTCAGGAGAATATAAGGGGAAGCAGAGGTTCAGGCTTCTTCACTCTCGAGCAAATGGATCTTTTTCTTCACCTGCCCCCCAATTAGGTACAACACGACCTACGATCCGTGGCACACTGAGATTATACCAGGAGCACCTGTGGGGCAAAGAAATGGGCGCGACAGGAAGCCGCGGGTGAACCGCTGAGGTTGCCCCGTATTCGAGAGATGTGAGCCACCTACTCACATTCGTACTTTCGATTGACTGGAGGATACTTGTCCTTGATCGCCTTCTGCTCCTCCGTCAAATTGTAATCTCTAACATCTTCCTCTTCCTGAGCCATCTTTGCAGACTTCGGGACCCCACTTCCGCCCTTCAGCAGCGTGACTTCGGCCCGGCGCCATAACTTCCGCCCTACATCCCACCCCTTGGCGGACCGTCTAAAAGGACCCGGACTCCATTCTCGGAGCTCGCGGAAGGATATTGTTGCCGGCTACTCCCAGCCCAGGCCCTGCCTCTCACGGCTTGTTTTAAAGGCGGGAGGTGGCGTGTGCCCCATGTTCTGCACTTATTACTGCCAGTTCTTTCTAAGACCTGAGGGGATACGTTAAGAGACACCTTGAGCCAGGCACCTGTTAAGTCTAAACGGTGACGCATTTTCCCCTCGGAGTTGCTAACCAGACCCGGAAACACTTGGGGGGTCTCTCTCTCGCTCCTCTGAGGGAGCCCTCAGCCTAACGGCCCTCGGAGAAAATGGC